AGCGCGCCCCAACGCTGGACCGCTCCGAGTGCTATTAGGAGTAATTGGCTTAATTTCCTGTTTTCTTTCTTCTAATTGCCATTGACTCAGCTACTAAATCTTGTTTTGACTTCAGGAGAGGTAGATAAAACTTCGTAGCTTTTCTTTTCTATTTTCTTTTTTGATTCAGGATAGAAACGAGCAAAAAGCAAGGGGCTTCATTAGGGTAAGTTTCTTATTGTTTCTTTTTTCATTCTTCGAGCTTATACATGAACTTATGAAGTTTCTTCCTCCTCGATGTTGCATAAAAGAATTAGTGTTTTGATTCCTTTCTGTTTCTTTTTTTCGTTGTTTGAACTCGACTTGTAAACTATAAATGTTTTGGAAGTTGGAACAGTTTGGCCAGTAGGAAAGTTTCAAGACACTTATATAAATTGAAACAATGAAAACAAAAGAAACAAAAGAAGCTCACCTATAAATGAAGTTGCACTTATTCCGGCCTGAAAAAAAAGGTGAAACCCCCTCCTTCCTTCATATTCCAGATCCTCTTAGGTAGAGAAAGTCCTCAGTTTCCAGCTAGTAGCCATTATTAAGAGAAAAAAGGTATTACAAGTTGGATTTCCTTATTTATCAAAGCGAGCGGTCCATAATAGCGTTGGGGCGCGCTCTGCCACGCACCGACGATCGCGGCGATCGCTACGATCGCCGATGCTGTCGCGAAGTATGAACGCTGCCCAATGTGCTATAAGTTACAGCATCAGGACCTAACGCAACTGTTGCGCGTGGATTCGGCCATGTTATGGCCCAGCTAAAGCTCGTATAGCAAAGCACGACACATGCGCGATTTTCATCTGCCATTTCGGTATGGTAGTTTGCAGGGGTCGGTGAACCGACTGTGGGTAGCCCACATGATGCGCTCTACATAGGCCAGAAGACCCGAAATTACTAAAGAATGAAATGGCACCAAATTGAAAAAAATTCCATATCAAAACTTTGAGGACGCCCAAACACTAGCGACGAATAGCGTGTTTATTTTCCGCATCCAGGGAGTGTTCCTCTCATTCGGGATTTTTTCGGTTATTTTCCTAGCACGCCGTAGGGTCATTAGAATGGGGATGCATTGGCGACTTGGAGGAGGCAGAGTTCTATGTCACCTGCCACTTTGGGCCTTTGATGAAGACGATCTAAGTATCAGACCGTTTATAAAGACGTTCGCTTGAAGTAATTGTTGGCTCCGGTGGGGGGGGGGGGATCCACGAAGCTGTGAGATGCATTTGCGGCTGTGTTGGCAGGCTGCTCAAATTCATTGCGAATTTATTTTACTTGTCAACCAAGGGGAAAGCGGAGGTCCAGGCAGCAACCACAGAATATAACGTCCAATAAATTACATTCGTGAGTGGAACAGGGTTGTGCACACGAAATGGTCAAAATGGTGAATTGTAATAAGAGCTGAATATCGCTACTTATTTTGTGTTTAAACGCATGGAACATAGCGTGATTAACAACGTCTTCAAGCGTTACTTGAGCTGACTGGAAATATTTATTCTATCTCTCATTTTGTTTGAGATTTGGCTAGGTGTTGCCACCGTTGCAAGCGAGTGCTCATCGAAATTCTTCTAAGTAGCGGTAAACTACTTTCACGATTACCTCTGACAGAGCTGGACTGGCGATCAATGCCGAATTAGAGACCGGATCCAGTCGCACATGAACTTGGCGCAAACCCGATCTCGCATAAAAATTAAAAGTTTAGAGAGCTAATTATCCCACAATGGAAATCACCACCTCTACGACATAGAATACCTACCTCAGTAAAGTAGCATATACCCATGTAGATCAGGATATGAACTAGTTTCATATCCGCTGAGCGGATGGATCCTTAAAATTGGGTCCGAACCTCTCGACGCTGGTATGTTGTCACTAAACCACACAAAGGCGATGTTGTAGGGACGATATGATAAAAATCACTGCTGCGAGTGGCAATAATTCACAAGAGGAATAAAGGATAAAATCTGTCCAGGTCTTGAACCTCGGAACCAATGATAACGAACTAGTGGTAATCAAGAATAAGCCCTGAATGGTGGACCCGTTTGGCGACCCGTTTGTCGACTGTTCGCTTCCCTGGGTACCTTCAGCGGACATCAGGTTTTTTACGCGCAATGTAAACGAGATACGACAAAGGGGACGAATAGCGACCAGCCGGCCTAGATTCATTTTGACCTTCGTTTCACTGACCACTTTGGGGAAATCACTTCCTTAACCATCTCCAGATCGTATCGACGGAAATCAAGGCTGAGAAAGGCTCCGCAAAAAGCAGCGTCCTGTCATCACGAAATCTCACTCACGCAAGGGCGGTGATACAGAGCTCATGTTAGGGCGAAAGAGGGCGTAAGACAGAATGAGTGAAAGTCACCCGCGAAAGGACGACGACTACGACGACCTAGATCATTGATGTGTGCGACCGGCCTTTCACGGATTAGTGCGTTGGAAGAATGGAATGTATAAATTACGATTGATCTTCAACAACCAGATGCAAAGTTGCGATAGCACATAGGAATCTAAAGGAACAAAGATTCCATAATTTGAACAGAAATCTTTATTACTCAGAAAATGGATGTTTATTGAGAATTTGTTGTTAACTCTAAAGTTCCCTAAGGGGTCCGTTGGGGTAATTCAATGTTGTAGTTACAGTTCAAATAGAATGATTGTCAATAAATGCTGAGCCGGATTACCGTAAGCATGAAAGGCTCAATCTCAACAGGGTTTAATTGTATGCATCACACATCCGTCACCGACAAGAATTGTAGGGGCTCCTGAACACATTGCTAACCACTCACAAATGACGACTCTGAAGGAGAGTAGCGGATGGTCCCGAAGGCAGCGTACATACTTCGTGATTGCAGCCGCGATCGTAACGATCGCAGGTTGCGACCGAACGCGCCCCAGCCTTCCAAGTGCTAAAGGGAATTCACATTTAAATGGTCTTCCCTGACTAATAGTCGGACTTCGCACTTCACGGTGAACTCTGCGCTAATGTGGCCCTGGCAACACTAGCTCAGACTCCACCGTGTGCAGCAAGTTCCCAAGGGAGTGCGCACACATTTCTTTTGCAAAAATGATGATCTCATTAGCTTCTCGGTCGCAGTCACACACATTAATGTATTTCACCTACAAGTTCAAATTCATTTATTTCACTTATAAATTCAATTCAATCAGTACTTCACCATTGCTACACTTTACATCAGAGCTCACACTTTTCTAGAATTTGCCCGGAACGCGATGGTGTTTGCGTTAGAGATGGTGCAGGTTTGTGGAGAGAAACTTTTGATCGAAGGGACTATTGGGTTGGCTTCTGAGTGATGGCGTTTTTACTTACACTATTTGCGTAAAAAGCAAAAATTTTCCCCATCATGTTCTACTCTGCCTAGTAAATAATGTTCTGCTTCACGAGACGTGGGCTTAGTTTTTTCTTTCTTGAATTTTATTAGTTTATAATTAATCGAAACGATGTGTTAGGCCGGAAGAAATTTTTGACGCCACCTCTCCGCAATTAATCTAGGCATTCAAAGTGCAGATGCAGCTCAAAGCATGCAATGTATACGATCAAAGAGTGGTGCTCTATAAGATGACCTGAAGTTGTGATTCAGGCGATTGAGAGCTCGAACTTTAGGGGTCATAAATGTGTGTCGGATGGGGCTCCCTCTCGCGAAGCAACTGCCTGCAGAACCTACATATTCATCAAGTTCTGGATCTTTTTCCATTAGGTTAAGCTGGTAATCAATGGTAGTGTGAGGTCCTCCCATGACATCCACCGATTATCCATTCTTTGGCATAGATTTTAGTGGATTAGCTGACCCAACGAGATCCCAGTTAAGAATCTTTGAATTGCCGTGATAGTTTTGTACGTTCCAGGAATCATCAATTTTCGGTCATGTACTATACTATCGGATGAGGCTCTGCTGTTTCATCCTAATAATTATGTTTTAAAAAAAAGAGAGTGGTTGAAAATGCTCGATTTAGTCGACTTGACACCTTACTTTGTGCACTTTAAATCCAATGGAAATAGGATATTCGAGGAAGGAAATCCTACTGTCTCACAGGGCAACAAAATCTCTACTGGGCAGCGTTCAGACTTGTAGCGCTACAGTTGTAGCGCGGCAATTGTAGCGCTACAGTTGTCGCGCTACACAGCTGCTAGCGCCCTACCAGTTCTGAACGCTGCTTAGACAGTGTAGGACCCATTAACGTCTTTTTCACTTCAAATTCACCCTTTTTCAAACCAAATTCATCCCTTTTCAAACCAAATTCACCCTCACTTTTCATCAAATTAACCACACTTATTAGGGCGGGCAACTCATCAACCAGATCACGCCAGACATCACTGCGAGCCCCGCCCCGACGGCCACGCCCACTTGTCAGCGCGGACATAGATTCTCAAATCTTGTTTCATAACTTCTGCTTTTGCTGTTTCCCACAAACACTTTGACTGGAAACGACCGGGCATTGACACATGGCCGACTCCGCCCATTCTCTGAAGGTTTTTATATAAAAGCGGTTCGGCACATCTAGGCTGACCCACACCCACTTGCTTTTCGCGGACTTCGATAAAATTTTCAAATTTTTGATTTCAGCGTGCTGCTGCGTAATAGCCCCGCCCCACTGATGAGCATGCTCAAGCCCACTTTTGAGGAAGCCGCTCACTTTTCTAAATGGTGGAAAATCGGCAGTGTAAAGGCCACTTTTGCCTTGCATTGCCTAGGTGTTATTGCTGTCATTCGGAATAAACTTTGCCGAATTTCTTGTGCCGCAGTGGCGAACAATCTAGCATGCAGCCACAAAGATTCTCTATCTATGCCGATCTGCACCATTTTTTGAAAAGTGAGCGTAGGCTTCTCAAAGTTGGGCGAGTACTTTCACAGTGCGGGTGGGGCATTCACGCCGGCAGCCCTAAAGTGCAAATTTTTGAAAACTTATCGAAAGTCACGCGAAAAAGCAAGTGGGCGTGGTCAGCCTAGATTGCCGAAACCCTTTAGAGAATGGGCGGAGTCGGCCATGTGTCAATGCCCGGTCTTTTCCTGTTAAAGTGTTTGTGGGAAACAGCAAAAGCAGAAGTTATGAAACAGATTGAACGAATGGTATGTGTCTGCGCTTGACAACTGGGAACATGGCCGTCGGGTGCGGGGCTGACTCGCAGTGATGTCTAGCGCCGTGATCTGGTGTATGATGTTGCCCGCCCAGTAAGTGTGGTTGACTTTGATGTGCCAAAGTGAGGCGTGAATTGCGTTTTGAAAATGTGGTGAATTTGGGAGTTGAAAAAGGCGTGAAAACTTGTGCTTAAAAAAGGGTAGATTTTATGTTGAAATAGTCATTATATGGTAAAACATATCGTCTTTAACTCAAAATTTCAATTTGGAAGAAAACGCCATCACTCATGGGCCAACCTACTACGTCGCTAATTGAACGTTTCACTGTCGAAATAAAGCTAGCTTACATACAGGGGGGAGGGGGGTCAAAAAAGGGACAACATTTTCTTTCCTCAACTTTCACGGCTAAAGTTACATCTTATTAACTTCTGATTGGACATTCCCACCCATCAAATTCAACAGCGTATTGTACACTATCACGATACTCCGCCACAGCCTTCTGGACGAACGCCATCGAGAGATTCTGCCACGCGACCGTGATTCGGTGCCTGAGTTCAGCGAGGTCGTTGATTTCTCCGCCACTGTAGACCACCCTTCTGAGCCGCCCTACCCCGTAAACAAGGGGGTTCAGGTCCGGTGACACACTTGAATATTCATCTTCTTCAGATACACAACGCCCTTCGATTATATGAAGGCTAGAGTTTTTTCAAATGCCCTTCGATTCCATGTGCTGGCACCCAATCCTGTAGCAGTACGAAGTTTCCAAGACGGTACAGGCAACGAAATGAAAGCAGAATATTCGGCACTGTTCAACTATTACTACCCCAATTTTCCGAAAACGGGCCGGATCTTGATCGACTTTTTTCTAGGGGCAGATTTGGCTGAAAGTTGGGTTCTAGGGGTAATTCGACCTCCTGAACACGAATATCACATCCGCTCCTCCCGAAACTGCCTGGCGCCCGCGCCACAGGCGCCGGCGCCAAAGTACCCTAGATCACCAAATCCGCTGAAAACTTGTGCCCAGGGGTAGTTCGACCTCCTGAACACGAATATCACATCCGCTCGGCCTGAAACCGCTCGGCGCCCGCGCCACAGGCGCCGGCGCCAAAATGCCCTATCCCGCGCCACAGGCGCCGGCGCCAAAATGCCCTAAATCACTGGCGCCTGTGGCGCGGGCGCCAGGCACTTTCAGGCCAAGTGGATGTGATATTCGTGTTCACGAGGTCGA